CATGGGAATGAATACGGGAACCTCCTCTTCTTGGGAATGGTTTGAGATACATGAAATTTCAACCGGAGAGCAAATCGCAGGGTGGCAAAACGTAAGAAAGAAATGAAAGATTGGAAATTCCATTGAAATATTTCATGAAATTTCACGAGTCTGTGAAATCTTTCATATTTTCAGGGCAGGGCCGGGTTCACCAACTTGCCGCTCCCTTATCAATCGTTTTAAAACATCAATAAAAACCATTAAGTGAGCGTGCCAAAGGGAGAAGGGTGCATTAGACGCGTTCATTCTTGTTGGACACATTATTTGCGGAAACTCCGTCAACAATACTAGCAAAAGTTCACAAAATTTTGCGCAAAAGTTGCGTTCCGTATACCTATCTCTGTGTGGACGAGGCCTTCCATTTGAAGCAATGAACGAAAAAATTATGAGAGAACAAACATAAATGTGATTTAATAATTTTAACTTTCGCCGCTGCGCCGCGCTGACCACACTGTGTTTGGCGCAATGCGTGAAGTATTCATGCAGTCTTGTAGGCGTTATGCGTTTCACTCCGACCGCTGTTGACCGCACTGGATTTGACGCAATACGTGAAGTATTCATGCAGTCATGTAGGCACTGATATGTGTTACATGCCGACCGTTGCGCCGAGGGTTTCTCCTGTTCATCTCAAGTTCCGTCATCATTGCTCTCTGCGCCGCGCCGTTCCAGGCCAAATTGCTTGTTTGGTTTCTTTCTTAACTCGACCAAGTATCACCGAAAGATGACAAAATTAGAAATTATTATACTCTCAGTTTCTTCTTCTCGTTTATGAACTGACAGATTCAGCTAAGCTCTTATCGCCCTATATAGTTTTCGAATTAAAACCGCAAATTTACTAAAATTTACCGCCGCGGCTGAGACACCGACTTTGACCAGCGGGTTCCTCTCCTACAAGCGACCAAGACTCCATCAACCCTATATGGACCCCCACCAAGCGGAAGCGACTCATCTACGCACTACACCCATACGAGTAATGCTGTTTTCAGACAGCATTATAGAAAACTGCCGAGCTAAATAAGAACGTCACATGTGCATCGAGAGTTGCCAAATTCCATCCAGTTAAATGTTTAATGGAGAATTTGCAAGGGTCTGAAATTTGATGACTTTCGTGTTGAAGTGGAATTACTGAGTGAACCGAACACGAGGACACCCTTGATTCATAAATTAAGCAATTATTAGAGGAAATATGACAAAATAACCGATTCTGCTAAAATACGTGTGTTTAAATGGGAAATGCCGCCAGATAACGTCACAAGGCGGAAAATTTTCTCACTCTTGCATCAATTTTTCTCCAAATTTTCATAACAGAAAAAAAGTATAAAAAATACTGAAAACTCAGCTTATTAGGCACTTTCAGATGAAGCAATAAAATTTGTGTGAGCAAATTCTCCATTTTCAGGAAGGTTGTGAATATTTTCTCCTGAAATTTTCAGATATTGTATATCTAATCGCGAATAAAATGTTCCCAAACATTTTCAGGAAATATATATACAGATTTCCCTGAATATAGGTATTTGAACAGAGGAAATTTGGCAGCTTCTGTTGGTTCATACGGCGTTCTTCCTTAGCACGGCCGAGAAGACCGCAAGAGCCCGGGCAGCGGCATTCCTGATACTCCACACGCGCTCCTCGGATGGAGGACAATTATCTGGGTTGTCAAGAGTCAAGCGTCAAAAGGCGGCGACCACCTGTCAGGCACTTGTCATCCGAGTCGGGCGGGCGGCGGCCGATCGGGGCTTAATCGAATCGAGATGGTATCGGCATCGGCGTCCCGAAACCAGAGCCGCCCACCAGAACAAGGCTCCCGGGACCCGGAGCCAAGAGCCGGAACCCGCAACCCCAATCCCGAGGGACGCCCTGCGCCACCGCGATCCCCGCCCACCGCTGCGTCGTGCGTTATGACCTATCTCGGTTTCCCGATGTGGGGTTTTGCTTGGTCGGTGATAAGGGAACATCGCGATGTTGGTTTTTCAAGATCGCGGTCCGTTATTCACGTGAGCTTACTGAAGGGTGGCGAAGTTTCATGAAAAATAAAAGATTGAAATTCCGCGTGAAATATTTCATGAAATTTCAGAAATTTATGAAAGATATCGAAATACCGGTTCCTTTCTATGTTTCGCAAAATGTAATGTGACTTTCTTCTATTTTTGATATAATGTTGGTGATAAGGGAACATCGCGATGTTGATTTTTAAGGGGTCACGATCCGTTATTCAAGTGAGCTTACTGCAGGGTGGCGAAGTTTCATGAAAAATGAAGTACTGAAATTCCACGTGAAATTTCAGAAATTTATGAAAGATATCGAAATACTGGTTTCTTTTCATGTTTACCAAAATTTAATAATTGTAACTTTCTTCTATTTTTGTGTGTTTAAGTGCGGGTTGCATACTCTAGCCCCTGAAACGTACAAATTATCTCACAGCCTAGTAAAATTTCATGAAATATTTCACTGGTATTTCCAGTCTCTCATTTCTTTCTTACGTTTCATGCACGTTTCTTTAACTACAAAATTGTTCAATCAGCAATTCCATTTTTTCCGTGCTAACCAACCTTCCCCCTGTGACCCCTCCCCATTCCCCCGTGCCTCCAGGGCAGCAAAATTTGATGAAATATAAAATTTTCAAATTTCACGTGAAATATTTCATGAAATTTCGGAAATTTTGAAAGATAATGAAAAATACCAGTTCCTTTTCATGTTTCGCAAAATGTGAAAATTGTAATTTTCTTCTATTTTTGTGTGTTTGAGTGCGGGTTGCACACTCTATCCCCTGAAAATATGAGAGATTTCACAGACTCCTGAAATTTCATGAAATATTTCAATGGAATTTCCAATCCCTCATTTCTTTCTTACGTTTCATGCTATCCTGCTGACCATTATGTGATTTCGGTAGGTGAAGTAAAGAAACCTTGACCCTCAAACACCACATGATAATTAGTTTCGTGGTAAAGAGAAAATATATATAAAGAACGTTTTTACCCGCTCATGAACGCGTTTTTTTCTGTCTTCTTTTCCTCTTTTTTTAAAAGTCAAGGATCCCTATCAGCGACTGACGGAATCGACATTCTCACGAGAAATATTGAAATTAGCAGAAACTGCGAGAGAGCGGGGCGAGATCTCAAGTCGCACCGCGTTTTGATCAGGAAGAAAACGCACGTGAAAAAAAAAGTCACCCGGAGATAATAGACAAACAAGGCCGTAGGGGGGCCGCTACTTGTTGTTTTACCTTTGTACGCCGTGCTTTTTAATCTCCTGCGCAGCATGCATTGGCAGCGAGCAGTGCACGAGGAGTTGCAAGGTGAAATTCTCATCGCTCTTTGCCGTCGCCGTCTGGTGAATAGAATCGCGCAACCCCTGGATGTCTTAGTGGGGGGTGAGGGTGCTGCTCAGATTCGGATTGATCGGTGTGAGTGCAAATCTCCGCCAGACAAGAGTCACGAGATAACGGGGTGAGAGTGCCGGGTTTTACTCAACTCGTACAAGTTAGGTGGAGTTCGAAACTTTTTTCAAATTTTTTTCGAGGTAAAATTTTTGAAACCGATGTGGAAGAAAATAATAGAATACATGTTCATAAGAGGCTTTTTTGAACCTAAAATTCACAGAAGAAAACGAAATTGCTGATTCAATAATTTTGAAGTTACAAAATGTGTCCAACATGTTTCAATGAAGATTTTACAATGAAAAAATGCTAACTGAACCACCCCTGCGGTTAAGTTAGCTTTCCATTACTGTAAAATGTACCTACATGACGGACATATTTTATAATAATTTAATTATTAAATCAGCATTCCATTCTGTCCGTGTTCGTCAGATACACGTATTTAAAGTGCCCAAAAAGAGTCTCCAAACGGGCACATTTTGCTCTTAAGAACTGTTACCGAGAGACTCGAGGGCAGTTTTGAAGTCGTATCATATGATAAATACTGTAAATCTCTGAACTTCGTATTAACGGCTTGCCGAGTCCGACCGGTTTAAGTTCAGAGGCCAGAAGTTCCAAGTGTAAGGAGCCGTATCCTCAACTGCTCTGAGTTTGGTGACCGAATAAACGGCATAAAAGGATTGGAACTCTCGGCCTCGAAGTGGCCTGAACCTGATTGGTCGGAAATAAGGGTGGCACATAGAGCCGGTAATTTTTTTACTGGAGATTTGCCATTGAAAATCTCCTCAAAGTTCCGTTACCTTAAAAATTTGATAAAAAATTTGAACCTTAGATAACTTAACACTTTGCCGACCATTGAACACTGACGGTTTATTTCTAATGGCTTTGACAGCTTGTAAACCTATAAAGACTATTTGATTTATTGAGTATAACGCAAACTTGTACTGTTTTAACTTTTCTTTTTAATAAAATGAAAGAATAACAAATATAAATACATAGCTAATACCTTGCTCTCTAGAAAATTATCAAAGGATTTTGTAAGCAATAGATGATTTTACAAGGAGTCTTGTTGAAGCCTCTTCAAATACAACGCGAGAGCGCGCGTTTAATATTTTGCACGTATCGAGATATATTTATAACCGTAATGCATTTGTAAACGATTGCTTTCGACGCCAAGTACTCTTGACGTAAGAAGTACAGAATATAAAGTTAGGGGAAAAGAGTTCATTGTCGCTAGAAAGTGTATGCATAACGGAGGGTGATAAAAGGTCAAAGAGCGAATTCATAGCTCATTGCAGTGGTCCGTGAAGTTGTAGGACTTAAAAGAATCCCTCCCTCGGAAAATTAAGAAAAACCTATAATACAGCTTCAAAGCTTAAAAATCAGGAGCCTGTAAAGAGTATGGCATCAGTCAAATACTATTTTTAGGCAAAGGGGTGGAAAAAGGTAAAATGATTGTTATTTTATTAACAGTCACTTATAGTCGTAATATGTGGATATATATTTTTAATGGATCTGTCTTTGATATTCGTTGCGGCCTCTTTCACTCAAATTCTTAATTGAAAATAATAATTTGGTGTTGCAGGTATCTTCAATTAATCGAGTGCTTCGAAATTTAGCCGCCCAAAAGGAACAAAGTCCTTGTTCCGTTTCACCAGCTAGCGATTCCGTTTACGATAAATTGAGACTTCTCAATGGGCAGACGACGGCATGGCCACGACCTAGTCCTTGGTAAGAGATTGTTCTATTTTGACTATATTTCTATATTCATTCTATTTAATACTTCCCTCTTTTATTCAGACATATTTTTTTGGTTCTTGGAATGTTTAAAATTCAATAAAGATGCAATTCAGAACTTACCGAACTTTTTAACTTCGAGTTACATTCCTTAGTTGTGAGTCGAATAAAAAAAATTTCAGATGCGATTGAATTTGGTTCTCATTCGCCAAAACTTGTTGAACACAGGGCCTAAAAGGTTATTAGATGAGGAAATAATCCTTTCCATCTGATGGATGAAAAAACAAATACATTGCTGCGTTTATTTGCACTAATGATATTTCTCAAGAGAATACATTAGGTGATTCTGGTTAGGTGATTCTGATTACATCACCGCTTCATCTGCTGTTTCATAATTTTTAGGAGCTAAAAAGCACAATAACTGATCGATTTTCTTTTGCTTTTCAGGTACAATCCACCAGGGACTGGAGGTAACTCATTCGCCTTACAACCTAGCAACTTTAGTCCCAATGCCACCGGATATAGTCCAGAAATTACAGAGCTACCAATTAAAAAAGGTTAGTAGATCTTACCCGTTTGGTAGAACATATGTATATAGGCTACAATCAAACGAGAAATCTGGGAAAATACACACACATGAGAAACAAGAGCGTGGAAGAAACTGTGTAATTTCCGGATTTTTTTAGATGTACTGATACAGTCTCACCATGATTGCACGTAATATTTTAGAAATATGTATAAAAAATGTCACACTTATGTACATTTTCTCTTTTTTGATCGTATGTTTCGTGAAAAATATCATGAACTCATGTGTCATCTCTAGATTTTCAGCATATTCCTTCACCATCGGATCAAAAGTGCCATAAACTCATATCGGAAACTGTTTTAAACTTTTGAAAATTTTCACTAAACTGTTTCAATGAAAGTCCCAGCCTACTATTTAGGTAGTGATACTAATCTAACTAATCAACGTCATTTCTTTAAAACGTCGGCGACTTCTCCCTGCACGAAGGATAAGGATATCCTCCAAACTTTCAAGTCATGTTGGTTGGATTTCTTTTTTAAAATATAACATGAGAGGATTATTTTGAAGCACCAATAACAATTTAAACATCGGGTAACAGTGCTAATTTTCACATAAATAACACCAAAACGTTCCGTATGAAAACTCAGCCTTCCTCAGTTGTATAAAAACAGTAACATTTGTTTTTAAAAAAACCTAAAAACTTAGTACTTGGCTGTACCTTTCAAGGCGAGTTTACTGTCATGTTAGAAATGTTTTAACAAAACATTTTTTGGTGATATTTACGTGAAAATTAGCCTTGTCACCCGTGCTGTTTAAATTGTTATTACTGTATATCTTGCCACGGGCTGTGGTGCATCAAACATATCTCATTTTGAAACACCGTCACCGAGATACGCATTTTTAAGGTTCAGTTACACGATCAAATTGAGCCATCAAACTGAAGCTCTGATTGGTCGAAAAAGACTTGAGGTGAGGATGCGACCAATGAGAGGCCCAATTTGATGGCTCAATTTGATCGTATAACTGGACCTCAACAGTTTCACCGTCAATATATATTGTCCCTGATCGGGAAACGCGTCTGCGCACACAATTAACGAGCAAACGTTTGGAGACGCAAAAAAATAGGAGAAAAAAGAACACACGCGGCTGAAGCTAAAGCGGATAACTGCACATGACGGAGGCAATAACTGCATCATGGTAGAGGCGTAGGGGGAGGGGGGCACAGGGGGAGGGTATATCGGAATGAATTTATCAGAGCCTGGAGGCTCATCCGCGGAGCCAATAGGCGGCACAAAGCTCAAGCGGTGAAAGCGGATACAAAAATCCGCCGTTGTTTCAGCCAACCGCGGCTCGGCTCGGAATGCTCGGGTCAAAGGGCCGCCGTTCTCAGGAATTTCGCGTTCCGCTCCCGCGCTGCTGTCAATTTTGCGGAATTTCCCGGAGCTTTAGTCAATTTTCGCGACAGTTACAATCTGTGCTTTAAGTTGGCGATTATTAATAGGGAATGTCTGTTGGTTCCCTTCCACTAAATGTTGTCCGTTGGACCGACGGTAATCTCGGGTTTCGTGGGCGGGGGCTTGGGGAGTTTAAATTGATAATTTTTTCTTCTTTTTTTTAATGTAACTAAGCCGTACCGAATTTTGAACAACAACTCCCAACTGGGCCGATAAAAAACTTTAAAAAATACATCCTTCATCCAGGGCGGGATTAACCTACTTGCCGCCCATGGGCCGCCTGTATTTTACCGTCCCCTTCTCATTCGTTTTGAAACATCAATCAAACCATCAAGTGAACGTGCCGGAGGTAGCGGGATGCATAAATCGCGTTTACTCGTGTTAGACACATTTTTTTGCGAAAGCCCTGTCAACTTTACTAGCAAAAGTTTACGGAACTTTGTGCGAAAGTTAAGTCCCGTAAACCTATTTCTTTGTGGACAAGGCCTTCTATTTATAAGCATCCAACGAAAAAATTAGGAAAGAACAAACATAAATGTGGTTTAATAATTTTAACCTCCACCGCCGCTCCGCGCTGACCGCACTGTATTTGGCGCAATCCGGGAAGTATTCCTACAGTCTTGTAGGCGCTATCCGTTTCACGCCGACCGCTGCTGAACGCACTGTGTCTGACGCAATGCGTGAAGTATTCATGCAATCTTGTAGGCGCTAATATGTGTTACATGCCGACCGCCGCGCCGAGGGCTTCTCCTTTTCATTTCAAGTCCTCGTCATCATTCCTCTCTGCGCTGAACTCCAAGCCAAATTGCGAGTTTGGTCCCTCTCTTAACTCGACCAATTAAAGATGCTGTCTCTCGTATCACCGAAAAACAACAAGAAATTACAACAACATTAGAAATTACAATACTCTCAGGAAAGAGAGATTTTGTCCCCTTTTCTCATTGATAATTTTTTTTCTGAATCCCATTTTTTTTATACCTACATTTAAAAAGATTGCAAAATTTGCCGCCCCCTAAATTTGCCGCCATGGGCCGCGGCCCATGTGGCCACTCCCTTAATCCGGCCTTGCCTTCATCAGACTCTCTTTGGCAAGCGAGAGTCCCGGTGTCCTAGAGAGGATTCCATCTGTCCCGAGGAGAATTCGAGTGACAGAAAAATTATTGGTCGACCCTATGCCATATGAATCGAGGTTATTTTTCTCCGTACTAAATGTATGCAACGTACGTAAACATCCCTCAACAATTGCGGGTGCGTCTTTTATTCCCAAAACTCCCAACCCAGATAGGTTCCTTTTGATAGCCGTCATCCAATCCCACGCGGAGAAAAAAACCTCGTGCGTGGGACCCAAAGTATAAGTCATATGGATCTCTGAAGTTTTCGGATTGAGCATCTGAACACTTTAGGTCCAGCTGCTGAGGTTCGGATCCCATCCCACATCTGAAACTCCAGTTCTTACATCTAAAGCACTTCGGTTTTCACATCCGAAAAACTTCGGTTCTCACATCTGAAGTGTAAGAACTGATGTTTCAGATGTGTGATCCGAACCTCGACAGCTAGACCTAAAGTGTTCAGATGCTCAATCCGAAAACTTCAGAGATCCATATATATGACCTAAACTTCGGGTCCCACGCACGAGGTTTTTTTCTCCGTGTATGAATTGACGTTATTTTTCTCCGTACGTAATGTATGCAACGTATGTATACAGCCCTTAACAATGCGGGTACGTCTTTTATTCCCAAAACTCCCAACCTAGATAGGTTCCTTTTGATAGCCTTCATCCAATCCCAAACGAGATCCGACGAAAATTGCGAAAAATTGTGAAAATCGGCATCGTCGGCGTCGTCCTGACAAGCGCACCGCTCGGGGCCGACTTTGCGTTTGACATGGCAACAATTACAACCGAACGCGAACGTGAGCGAGGGGTGGGGGGTGGGTGGAGGGAGGGAGGGGCGCCTCCGGGCCCGGCCTCAGGTGAGGCGGAGGGGTGGCGTTTGAGAGCCCGCCTTGCAAATGACACCGTTGCGGCGTACCGCACTCAAAAGCTGAAGCCTCCCGGATCTGGATTTGATTCGATTGTTTCCTCCGCGCCCCGCTAATACGCTTTAATCTACCACCTTCCAGCGTTTAATCCTCTCGTCAGTGACCTCCACTGTGGAACGTGTCCTCTCACCCCCCATCCCCTCCCCCATCACGGCTTTCCTCTCTTGCGGCCTGATATTTAATCGGAGACGGAAAATCCTGAGGTATCTTTGTCGGGAGAGTATTGCCATGGCTGTGCCTCTCTTTGATTGGTCCTCCAGTCTAACGCCACTGTGAGTTGCTCCTAGAGTCCCTTTATACTAAGAGTCAAGACAATGTGAATCCATTTCTGATTGGTTCCCGTATTTTAGGCCTCCGCAGTGTCACAAACGGGAATAAAGATTACATTTTCACCGATTGCAAAGATTATAAACTGGAATGGACCGGGGAATAACGGGCTCGGCAAGGAACAAACGGAATGAGAGAAGGAACGGGGAAAGGAATTTGAGAATGAGCCTATCGAAGATTACGAAAAACTCAATTTGTGTAATCTTTATTCCCGTTTGTGGTCTTTAAGGCGGAGAGAAAATGCAAACTGACTTTCTGATTCTTAAAAATTGGGATTTGGGACCGAATTCTTCACAGAATATGCATGCATACAGACTAGTTTCACTTGAAATCATTAATATCTCAATTTTGTCAAAAACTGCACTCATGCGCCTTGTCCTTCTAGCCCTTCAATTGAATCGGCAGAAGTCGTTCAAGTTTGAGCCAAGAAAAAGAAGCTTGAATTTTTAATCCTCCTAAAGACACAATGTCAAGTAAGAAACCTAGCATCACCGGAATGACCAAAAAGTTATTTGCTCCCTCAATGAGTCGTTTTGCGTGCCATTTCAAAAATCAAAATATATCGGGCTCATTTATAGATTATTATTTGACGTATCGAATAAAACGAAAATTGACATTTATTGAAAAATTCCCCATTTTGTTAAATTTCAAAAAATTGAAAAAGTGGGCTCTTCTGGTCTTTATTACTTGCCGCCATCAGCAAAAAACACAGAGTTTGACCCGGTAGATTTTCACCATGAGCCATGTTAAAAAATTAAAATTTGGGGATATTGCGGGTCTTGGAGTTTGTGAATATACCTAGAGAGAGAAAAAAAAAGAGGTGTTTGCATTTCGGGCATCTTGGAATTTTTTTGATGACGTGGGTCGGTACAGCGACCTTTATCATCGATTTTCTTGGAAATGGTGTAATTTATGGAAAAAAGTCATTTTATAAAAAGTGCTTGAAATTATATCATGAATTGATTTAAGCAAAAAAAATGGGATATTATGGTCCGTTTTTCATACTTCGAATTCCGGATTTCGCTGGCCAGAGTGTACCGAACTACGTCACGGGGTAAACAAACCACAAGATGCAAACACCTCCTTTTTTTCTCTATAGTAAATATGTTAGTACACGTAATAAACAATCCCCCGAATGGCAAGCTATCCCGAGGCGCCGCCTGACGTCGAAAATTGAAAACTCACCGCCGGAAACCACGCAAATGGAACC